CGGTGACATAAGATTTTTGATTCAGTGATATGTAACTTACTCATTTACCTACAAACCGGAGCTAAGTTGTGTAATGATATTTTCAGGTCATCAATTATGTAAACCCTAAATATTGTGCTTTAATTAATCTTGATTTTACACGATTATCCCCTATATATTTTTGACGTTTATGGATTCTGTAGTTCTTAAAGGACCCTTACAGTTTCACCATGTCCGTCTATTTTCCGTACATACAAAATAGTAACATAATTTATTTAAAAAATAATACATAAAGTACCCTATACTCTCCTGTACCATTGCACATGTGTCGTGGTATAGCAGATATTTCCATTCGCTTAATTATTTGAGAAAAATCTTTAATTTTTAGTTTAAAGTGCTCCCATCCTCTCTTGATTAAACTGTTGCCTGGAAAAATCTTCGAAGTAAGTTTTAGAGTAACTAACTCATAACTCATGAGTTAGTCGAAGCTTTTAAAGTATTTATAATTATGAATATTAAATTTGATAAATTATAATGTGTGTTAGATGTCCGAAAGTATTATTATTGTTCTCTTTATTACATTTTAAAATACTCACAATGAAGAATGATTTTCGAATCCACATTCCATATATCGACAATCTCGTGGGATAAATCAAAATATTTTATTTGATTTTCTTTTTCAACTTTCACGAGATTCTCGTCATGAGGAACGGTGATATCAACAATCATTGCGTATTTAAGAGCAAGCTGTTCTACTTTGCAAATATTATATATAATATTATTGAGCGTGCACATCAACCAGTCATGCCAAATCTATTGTAGCTGTAACCTATAATATTATTAATATGGGTCACATAAATGATAATTGTTACAGAATATGGTGGAATACTTCCCCATCAGTAGAAACAGAAAATAATAAATACCCATATCATAGGATATTACGTAGTGTCCCACTATTGATAACATTAACGCGTAGTTAATACGATATTATGGTATAGCTCTGTGAGCAAACTGTTTACTATGATTTACAAGTTCCTTTCGCTCGCAAACAACCATTTAGCTAATAGATACGAACTTATGAAAGCTATTCCTGCATAGAAGTAGGTATATCGTGACTAGTTTATCTACTGGAAGCCTGTTCCTGAGGATTTCATTTTCTCTCCACTTTCTCTACAATTCTACCCTGTTACCTGTAACGGATTAAATGCATTCACATCACGCTTTAGCTGCGTTTCTTAAGATTAATTTAAAATAAAAGTACTCTTGGACATTTCATGTCATGTTCTTCGAAGTTGTTTTGCTTGGTATTGTCGTAAATAATGACAAAACCGTTTGTTTCTTAAGTAAATAAAGTACATTGGGTAAGAAACGCATCGAATTTATTTTTTAAAGTTGTTTGGAAATTGATATTTTACCAGTGATGAAGTACGAGTATTTTTATGGAATTTCCTTTCTAATATTTATCAGTATGTATGTATACGTGTAATAAATTATTGTAAGTGCAGTGAACATTAAGATCGTATCAATGCTTAATGTTTTTTCGTGTTTTCTTGTCTTGTGCAACAAATGTTACCTATTACTAATGTTGCGGTTGGCTAATCACGATCAAGGCGAACTGTTCTTTTAGATTATAGTTTAGAGTTAGAGGTACAGAAAAAACATATTTTTATTTGGCTGTTGTTTCTTTATATTGGAAAAGAGACCTTTTTCTACTAAGGATATGGTCCTTCAGTTTTGTTTATATTAATATAGTTATTTGCATCAATAATTGGTTAAGGCGTTTAATTTGGCGATTCGTATTTATGATCTCCACTGCTGTCTGCTATGAGGCGTTTTTTTTCTTTTTTTTTGTTGAAGAGCAGGCAAACGAACGGACGGGTCACCTTAAGACTTAAAGTTTATTTCTTTAGGAACAAAAGCATTTTGTTAAAAGTACGATATAAAAATAGATATAAAATAACTTCCACTACCACATTTTAATCGCATACTTTTAAAACTATTCAATAATGTGTTTTATACGTATTTATTTTAATTGTCAAGGTTAATGAAATTGTATTGTAATTATGAACTAATTAGACGAATTAAAATCGATCTCGTTACTAATTAGTGTAGGAAAACGGTCGGGCCTTTTAGAATATAGGTAGTACAATAGTAACCTCCATAGAATATTACATCAGGAATAATTAGTTTATAACCTCAGCACGCGGTTACACAAAGTGACTTCTGTTCGGCAATGCATTGCAATGATAAATAGAATTCGTAGGTTAGGTAAATAGTCGGTCAGGTATGAGGAAGATTTTATAATATTAATTATCTTACGCAAATGATTCAATCTTCATGGTTTAAATACTTATTAAAGACAAATACCTACTGCGCTGCGCTGCGCTGCGCTGCGCATGCGCTGTACCTATTACTTATAGATTTGTATTGTAATAAATTCAATACATTCATATAAATTCACACGGTGATTCTACTGAAGAAAAGATAATATTTTTACAACAAGTGGTATAGAATCTTTTTTTTCTGCGTGTGGAAACCCCCTCGGGCCTACCGTAATTTGTCCGGCACCGTCTACAGGTGTCCACCAGTAGGACAGAGTGTCGGAATCGAACCGACTAAAACTACATGGTGTGCCATACTGTACTTCAAATAGGAGGGATCCGGAAATAACTAGTAATATGACATCCAGACCCCTCATGGCGCCTGACTGCAAAGGTACGGGCATCAACCTTGAGTAAAAACTCTCGTCTGGTGACAGGCTAACCTCGTCTCCTTGCGAAAGCTGTAGTCTTAGGCCAAACTAATAGTTTATCGCTGTAAAATTTGAGAAACTCTTTTTATTCTTTTTCTGCTTTTCTTTTATTCTGCTTCTCGTTCAGTCTCTTGCAAATTTGAACCCATAAGGGTGGAAAACTAAGGTATGAAGAATTCTACATTATTACATACGCTATTACAATCGATCATGGTGTGGTAGCATTAAAGTCGGCAAATAAATTACTCTTTTAAGAGTTAATAATTTACTGTTCGATTTGCCGTATAACTTAAGCTAAACTTGTTTGCAGTTTATGTAACGTAATATCTGTACTCCTTCGTTAATCGGAAAATTTCAAGGAGAGTAATGGTCATCAGTCAACTCAAGGATGAATTCGCAGAATCTGTGCGATCCGGTTTCTAAGTTAGACTTAGCTTCTAAACATATATTCCTATTACACAACTACGACTACCACAGTTACTGGAGTGAAGTAATTATTCCGTTTGAGTATTTGATTCTTGTTTTGTTATTTTCAGTGCCTGTTTCGTTCTGGCATTTCTGACGAGGATATCAATTCTGTTGTATAATATACATAAATATTTTCTTTGTATCCGTTAAATTAATTTAATAAATAGTTTTGTTTAGTTTCTAATACATTTGGCCAAGGACCCCGACAAGTACCTGACCTCGACCATACTACTGATTTATTTTCTTAAATATAATATTTTAGCTTTTTAAAATAACCGTTCGAGGAACACATTGAAGGTTATATACACACTATTAATCTAATATACATATAAGGAAGACGGTTTTAATATTTACCGCAATTAAGGTTAGCTCAGAAATTGGGCAAAGGGCACCAGCTGCTCATGAGACACAAATGCGTTGTCGCTCGTGGAGTGCCTTCATAGTTTACCTCTGTTAACCTCACTCACTCGGTGAAGAGTAACAGAAAAGATGCTTAACATCGGTTTTCCGTGAGAAAGTGTATCTCCCACTGTATTTCGTGTATGATGTATTCAGATTACATTTAACATCATATTTAAATAAGTGAGAGTAAGTTCATACTTAAACATGATCTACGGAACCAGACAGCTGATGTTAAATTTGTTTAGATTGCAAATAGGTTATCTTGGTAATAAGGGGATTGGAGAGATGGACCTGTTTGCTTGTTTGTCTCCTGTACAATAAAAAGGGGTTATGTTGGAATCAAATCTACCAAAACAACAAGATACTGCCGATGTATCTGGCTGATCTTATCTACTGTTACAGAACCATTTTTTTTTTAAATATATTTTACCACATTCACATAACACCATTTAGTTCCAAACTAAGCAGAGCTTGTAGTACTACTATAGGTACTAAACAACTGATATAAATACTTATATAATTTTTTTCTAAATACATACATACATACATATAACACCCGGACCAAATCAAACATTAAATGTTCGTGCGCATAAATGTTTGACTTGAGCTGGATTCGAACCCGTGACCTTTGAAATAACAGTCCGTTTATTTTCTTCTTTCAAACTTTGGGTGGCACGTATCAAATACTTTGTGGCCTGTATCTTATGGAATGTTATGAATACGTTATAATGTTATGGAAAATATATATTTGGTACTAGTGTATGTTACTGCTAAATTCTCCTTTTCAATGAGTTAACCAAGGTGACATACAACCAAGGCTACTTTCTAACAAAAACAATTTACACGTAGTCGGCCTGATGAGTTGCAGGCGTTCACGGGCGAAGGTCGTCACTTTCCACCACGTCATCTATCTGCTGCGTTTGCCCCTTGTGTCATAAAAAAATGACATACATAAGTTACGTGTTTTTACATTATACATGATTATATCAGGTAACAATTAATTAAAACATATTATTATTCGTAGTTCAGTTTTCGTAAATTATTTTGAGTTTTTATTTTTGCGATATGGGAGGTAAATAAAAAAATAATAACATATATATTTCAAAGAAACTGTTTTAACACCCAGCCTTGCTGAAATACTGACCTTACCGCACTTATTTACTTGATGCCAACTAAGTAGTTAAAAACTTTAATTAACTCTTTATTTATTACCCAACACTAACGTATTTATTATAATATGTTCGTTATAATGTGTGATGTCAGTGTAGTGACGGATAAGAATACGGAGTGTCACCACCCACATTCATCACCAAATTTTAAAAATAATTTTAAATAAAGAAAACAGCTCAAGTAAAAAAATGTTAATGTGTTTAAATATCATGTTTTTCCTCAGGATAAAATGCCATCACCAGATTACAGTGTGGACTTGGAGTTGAGTGAGCCGCCTCCGGAAGTTATGGAGTACGCACGCCAGCACTGTGGGGAGGACCCTAACACACGCCTCCAAGCTATCTATGAGCTCAGAGAAATGATATATGGTACGTAATAAATTTAACACTTCCTAAGAATAACTATAGTTAACTATTCAAATATTTAAATGTAAACTCTATAAATAACTTCTGTTTTATTTATAGTACATCTAGTACTATGGGTGTAATTAAAATCTCTAAAAAATTTAAGAACATTTCAGGATTCTAAAGTTGTAAATTGTTATCATCAACAGCCTATAATAGTCCACTGCTGGACATAGGCCTCTCCTTAGAAAGGAGGTTTTGGCCTTCTATATAAAAGTTGGCTAGACGGGTTGGTAGGGTTTATGTCAAGTTTTCCTTCTCTTTACAGTGCTGTCCTGCGTAGTTTGCTTCCTTAGTCGGCTCTTACGATACCCACGGGATGAATAGGGGTGGTGACATTCCGTATTCTTGATCCGTCACCACACGGATAAATTGTTAACTATCTTTTAAAACATTGAAAATATGTGTCCATTGTAGTCAATAGAAGTATATGGAGAGAAGAATTATATCGCAATTATAATTAATATTAAGTTTTGCAAAACAGACAGCAGAACAATAGGCGAGTTAGAGATGTAAGTGACCGTGACATGAATATTTTGTTAAATGTATGATCTGACCTAGGTACTGTACGAAGTTTTCCGCTGCTATTGTTAAACACCAGGCTAGCATAAAAATAAAACAAATTTAATTTGTATAATTCATTCAAATTACGTTACCTATAATTTGATTCTTACATCTCTGTAAACATACTGTCGGTTATTGCTGTAAAAAGCATATGTCCTTCTCCACAACTTTCCATACTAAATTTCATCTAGCAGGGTTCAGCGGTTATTGATTCCTAATACAAACTACAAAAACCTTTGACCTTTTACAGATGTTAAAAAATAAATGTAGGTATCATGAGGCTTTTTATGGCCTACTATGTCACGCTGGCCAGACATGTTGTTAAAGGGTTTGTTTCAAGTTTTCCTTTTCTTTGCAGTGCTGGTGCTGCGTAGTTTGCTCCCTTAGTCGGCTTTTACGACACCCAAGGGATGAATAGGGGTGGTGACACTCCGTAATCTAAATCCGTCACCACACGGACAAGACGTATATTTTTATAACTTCTACTGAGTATAGTTAAAGCATTGCACACACCTTAGTGGTTAATTTTGCCATCTATAATATTAAATAAGTGACTTAGATGTTGATAAAGAAAAATTGAAATGTAGTAGAAAATATAACAATTCAGAGAAGTCTAAAAAACTGACGCCTAACTCTACATTGAGTCAAATACACTAAATATAATCTATCTGTAAAAAAAAAATGTACAATATGTAAAAACATTACACTAAAGTCTGGCTATTGTTTTCCTTAAATATTTATCCAAATTTATTCCTAGCTAAAGGTCATTGCGATATAGAAAATTCTTAATTTTTTTAAATGTGGGCACATGATATCCAAAATGAGGCATTCAAAAATCAGACCATTTCTTTCTGATACCTGAAATGAAAGTTCATAATGATTAAGGCTTAATTTGGGAGTTGTTGTCACTGAATTCAAATTGTAGACAAATCACGAAATATTGTACGACTCGTAGACGTAAGTTTATTAAGCAAGGTCATGCTGTGCCGCTGCGTAAAATTATGATGATTTACAATATTCCGCTTTTCTGCTCCCTGTGTGTAACTTGGAACAGAGACATTGTATTTCAGATTGGTTCTGAATTTCATTGATTTTCTATTAAGTGTCTCCTTGCAGCATGAAACCTTAAAAATATGTACTTTTCGTTTTTGTTGTTCCAACAGCTAGGCTTTGATTTTTCTTATTTTCCTTTAACCTAAAACTACTAAAGTACCCCACAGTTTCTATTGATCCAAAACTCACCTCTTACATGTAACTAAGACTCTCATTTTTTTATCGTGTTATTTGATTTCATAAACGTTTTATTTCTCTAATGAGTCCTATTCTTCGTATTTTAATATATAAAATAAACATTTGTCGAGTATTAAATTCAACGAGCACAGATATTACGTTGTAATTAATAAAATTTCTTTGTTAGTAAAAGGGTTTTCCAAGGTTAGACAAAGATATAGAAAACAAAAGGATCAGTTCCGTTTGGACCATTTACCATTGTTCTTTTACTAATGTCATGTAAGGTTCAAACACCCCCAGACAAATAACCATTCTTGAGGCTACCTTTAGTTTAGATTAATGCGAATTTATAAATAGGATAAGGCAATGACCTGCTTATTAGTAATAATCTTATACAAGTTGAGTTTGTACAAATATTATCTGCGGTAGCCGTCAAGAGATATAAGCAAATTAAATCATAAGTGGAAAACATATTATGGAAGGATGCTCTGTAAACATTGGACCATTTGGCCATGACTGGCCATTTAGAATATGTTCGAAAATATTATTTCCATACTAATATACTTTTTTTACCGCTGGTGTACAAAGATATGATTCTTTTCGTCTTAAGATGGATTAGCATATTTATAAGAATACATCGTAATGAAATGTACAATATCCAATTATTGTACATTTTATTACGATGTATTCTTTACTAAACTTTTTAAAGCGATTTTTCCTACCGAATATTAGGATAGTCTTCGATTTAAAAATCTTCGTAAACGTACGCCAATTTCCAGCATGTAAACTACACAAATACGTTCCTTGTGCCAGATCGTTTGTGCTAAGGAGGTTAAACCCTTAAAAAGTTTCACAAAAAAATGTTTGTCGAGGTGATTTAGTTTACACAGGACATCTTTTCCAATTCCTCTGTACACAATCTTGTCCTAAATATGGTTACTAGGAAACATATTTTTTTTCAAGCCATAAAACATTGATGTTTTTGTTACTTTAAAAAATATTATAAAATATAAAACTTATGCTGCATTATATGCATTAGATATTGATTACAACATAGTTATGGGAGAATTTGCATATGTCTAACTTATTGAATGTTTTATCAAGGTTTTTGCGTAGAACATGCATTCTAAAAGAAACCACACTCTCTAAAATAAACTATTATAAAAATACTATTGAGATGTGTGTGATACACTTGTGCTTAGTGCTAAGTGATGACCAATCTTCAGCTCCGAGGAAGCCAGACATTTTCTTTAAACGCTTCTATAAGCTCTGACCTTTACAGAGCGCCATGAAATTTTATACATGCAAAATTAGGCAGTAGACACATACCATAACCAGTATGATGGTAAGGTGAGGTGTAAGATGGTATGGTTTTATCAGCATCTACAAAACCAGACAACCCTATAAAGTCACCAAAGAGCTGTGAGAAATCGACACACTTCTTTAAGAATATTATTTATCAACGCTTTATTTTGTAAACTATTGGTTAGATTAATAATTTTATTGATTTAAATGGTAGTAGTTACACATATTAAATAACAAACTAATTCCATTCAAATCCAAAAAATATTCAATTAGAGTTTAACTATTATACTATCCTCTTTGAATATTTTTCGGCTACCATTTTATTCAGCCAAATTACGAACACAAAAAACTTATTTCTTCTTTTAGTTTAGCTGATTATTATAATAAGAACCTTATCTAATCGGTTGAGGACTAATATACATTATCAAATCTCAGTAGTATACTGGAATGAAATATAACATTCAGATTTATGTATATGTTTAATGTTAAAATGTGGAACTTAATCCAACATTATATATACTCATCAAAATGTCTTTTATTTTTGTTTCAGAACGCGGAGAATGCAACCCTCACCGCATGGATGACGAATTTTTAATTACATTTTTGCGTGCTCGGAAATTTGTACCTCAACGAGCGCACAGATTGGTAAATATTTTTATTTTATACGCCTGAAAAGTCTTAATTCGCCCACGTTGTAAATAAATATCGTACCTTTTATTTAGCTATGGCTCATCAAGAGAGCATATATATTACGCGAGAAGGTTACGTAAAATAAATTCGAATTGAAAAAAAATGTTTAGAAAATATTGAACCTCTTATTGCCTTTTGATATCTTTTAACAGAACAACAAAACATTTGTAATTGTTTCATACACTCCCACCTCATAGTGTAACTGCAGACTCACTTTAGTGACATTAATAACCCAAAATGTCAGCCGTGCTCCCATTGTATCGTAGACTAACTGTAACGTTACTCCCACGTCGCGTCGTGGGAGTAACTGATATTTTAGCTTGCTCTGTGTTCCGGAAATCCCTCGAATTAGCAGAATGTACAGTGCAGTAAGAGTGCGTTCACAATTTTATGCAGTACAATTTGACACAACGTGTTTTGTTTAGAATGTACCAGAGCAATGATTTATAAAGCCTTGAATTGATGTGACCGCGGAGTGTTACAGACAATTATGATTATTACAACGATATATACACGCACACATATGATGAGTGGCTCGATACATACTTAATATCCCACTAGTAAGATCGGCATAGACTAATAAATAGTCAATTCAGGGTCCGATACTGATAGACTGGTATCGATTTGCTGATAATTGAATTGACTCGACTTATAAAAAGAATATAAAAGCTTTTTACTAGTTTTAAATGGAAAGTATGTTTTTAGGGTTCCGTACCCAAAGGGTAAAACGTGACTCTATTACTAAGACTTCGCTGTCCGTCCGTCCGTCTGTCACCAGGCTGTAACTCATGAACAGTGATAGTTAGACAGTTAAAATTTTCACAAATTATGTATTTCTGTTGCCGCTATACATACAACAATATACAAATACTAAAAACAGTAAAAAATTAATATTTTACGGGGCTCCCATACAACAAACGTGATTTTATGCTCGTTTTTGATCGATATTGATAACGGCAACAGGTAGACGCTTGAAATATTCACATAATATTTAGTTATTTGTTCAATTTAAAAATAAATAATTAAGTTAAAATAAAACAAATATTAAAGGGGGGCTCCCATTTAACAAACGTGATTTTTTTGCAGTTTTTATAGATAATGGTACGGAATCCTTCTTGTGCGAGTCGGACTCGCACTTGGCCGGTTTTTTTAATCATATATTATTGCTTTCCCACGTGATAAAGCGTCATCAACAGTTGTTTTATTATCAAAATTATGTAACTTCATTTACAAAAACCTTGAGATATTACTCTTATAATATTACCTTTATATTTACTCCTGGAAAACAAATCTTAATATTACTAAGTACTTTATAGATTATACCATCTTGTTTATGAAACAGTGTTTTTATATATTAAATATGTAAAAACAATCATTAATTTATTCTGACGTATTCTTATCTACGTCAATTGAGTGATGTGAACATCTATACATCTATATCTATACAAATAAATAAAATTGGAGTGTCTGTTTGTAATATTAAAATAACCGCTTTTTACTAAATGCATATGTATGTTTACACGGTACATATGCCAAAATAACATTTTTTACAATTTTTGACTGTCTGTCTGTGTGTTTGTTCCGGGTAATCTCTGGAACGGCTGGACCGATTTCGATGGGACTTTCACTGGCAGATAGCTGATGACACAAGGAGTAACTTAGGCTACTTTTTTAGACTAGCTTCGCCCCGCGGCGTTGCCCGCTGTTATAACAATAAACGCGGGTAACACCGCGGGTCTCAGCTAGTAGATAAATAATAAAACTGGTTTCAAATAATAATCTATAATTAATACAGTGAATACGTATGACTATGCTGTTGAAATCTCTATTTACAAAAATAGCATCAGTTCAAGTATGTGAACAGCGTTATTGTTAATAAATAATAGATTAGTAGACGTTGTGTCGGGTAAGTTAGCAAGTCAATAAGAGGTAATGATTAGCGAGGTTATTTTTATAGTATATGAGAAAGATAGTCAATAAAAGATAACAGAACATAAACAGCTCTCTAATATATAGAATATTAGATATGTTTGTTTTTATAAGACAACTCCCGCAACATAAATGAAACGGACACAAAGAACACCCAGACTCAGAACAACAATTTGTGGATCACACAAAGTGTCGTCCCATGTAGGGTTTGAACCCACAACACTCGGCGTAGTAGGAAGTGGCGTGGCGACCGCTTAAACCACTACGCCATCCGTGCAGTCAATGTGAATTGATAGTTTGTTGAAAACAACTTACCATGTAAATGGTTGCAATTAAAATAATAAAACCTTTTTGGGACACAAATATAGCTTTGTCACGATGAAGACTACTATTTTTGAATCTTTATTTTAGTTAGAACTTTCACAAAAGAAATTATAACGTTCCTGTATTCATCACTAGGTAGTCTACACTAACTCCTTCTTCTTCTTCGTCTTCCTTATAATTTGAAAATATATTACGTTTTTTTTGAGGAAATGATTTTTTTTTTCAAAAATTTGCCATTTTTTTGTTATCACCACTGATGAGCCACTGCCATTTAATGACCACTGTAAAGACACTGAGTTAGTGTAGACTGCCGATATTTATACCGATGCCAATGGCCACTCGATGGCATCTCAATAGCGTGTCAGTGGTATGACAGTGGCTTGGTGTGAACATAAAATAGCAGAATTGAGGCCCTGGCCTGTGGGCGTCTGACACTACGTTTGCCTAGACGCGATATCCACTCAAGAACTCGTTTACCCCAAAGGTTGTCGGTTCTGCGGCTTATATGACCACTCCACTACCACCTCAGTTTGTTAATCTTTTTAGTTGTTTGGTACAACTAAAAAGATTTGCATTGTAAATATTATTTACTCCGTAGAGACTGTTTGTTTGTCTATTGTTAATAGCTAAATTACTAATATCTTTACAGATGGTTAACTACTATCAGTTCAGGGAAGACTACCCGGAGTTAGTGGAAAATGTTTTTCCGCTGGACTTACGGAACTTAGGCGATGCCAACGTGATCGCCGTACCTCCGTACAGAGATCAAGATGGACGCCGACTGCTATTTTATAGAGTCGGTATGTCAAACATTTTCATCAAGCTTTTTTTATTTTATTAAAGAGGGAAATAACCTAAACATTATAATTCATACAAATTACCATTTATTTTTTTTAATTTTCAATTAACTTTTTTATTTACAACATTATTTTAAATTACTACGTCATTGAATGTACATTACAATTTCCCTTTGTTACAGCCTTAACTTGATTTTGATATAGAATGTTTATTTTGTAATATAACCAAAGTTATCAATGTTTGTATTATCGTATTCTCTATAATGTCAGTGTAATGAAACAGCTGCGTAAATGTGAGTGAATCACAAGTAATCGTCTAATTGGTACCATCCAGGCGTGAATTTGTTCGTTAGCGAGATAAATTCCCACACTCAGTGAAACCATTCAAATGTTACACACATATCGAAAACAAACGTGGGACGACCGCGACAGGATAATGTCAATCATTACGAAAATTGCGTAGTCCATTGTGTTATACTGATATTAGTCATACGTTTATATTTATGCAGTAAGTCTGTAATTAAAGATAGTGATTTTCATATGTTAACTTTTTGTTTGTATATCAGTATTATCAATTAACTAGATTTGCACGGAATTATACCATATTTGCTAATGCCATTTCGTGAAATCCATATAAACTTAATATTGTATTGTACCACCTTATTAACTTGTTGGTTGGTATAAAGTTTGTTTTAAGTTTTCCTTTTCTTTGCGGTGATGTTGTCCTGCAGAGTTTGTGATGAATGATGAGTGATGAATATGGACTTTTAGGAATACATATACGTACATATATAAGAATACTAGCTGATGCGCTCAACTTCGTCCGAGTCTCACAAAAAGATTGTATTTTCTCCGTTTTTGCAACATTTATAATTGATTTTCGGCTCCTATTGGTCGTAGCGTAATGTTATAAAGACTTCCTCCATAAATCGGCTATCCTACATTCACATATTTTTTTAACTCTAACCCGTAGTTCCTGAGTTTATCGCGGTCAATCAAACAAACTTTTCAGCTTTATAATATTAGTATAGATTTAGAAACGAGATAGGTCCTGGCTAGTTTTTGGCTCGTATTGAGTTTTATTTGCAATATAGTTGGGTCAAATAGAGATCCCTGGCTTTTGGTTTTGCGCATGTGATATGCTTATCTCATTTGCAAAGAAATTACTGCCATACTTTCTGATAGACATACATATATGTCTAATTTTTATTTATTTTTCAGGCTGTTGGGATCCTAAATCCATTCCAATAGAAGACCTATTCAAAGCAACTATATTAGCTTTGGAAATTGGTCTGCTGGAGCAACGAAGTCAAATACTGGGAGGCGTGGCTATATTTGATTTGGAAGATATAGGAACAGCACATGCATGGCAGATAACACCTTCTGTTGCTGCCAAGATGGTGAAGCTTTTAGTGGTATGCAACTTTTCTTACAAATTTTCTCATTTGAAATTACTTAAAGAAACTAATTTAAAAAGAGAATACCTTTGCAATACAAAATAAGTCCTTTATTCCCTCATAAAAAAATACCTTCTTCTTAAGGTAGAAAACCACAACGCATTTGTGACTTTGAGTTAGAGTGTTTATAGACGGCGTTAGTCCCTTACCATCACCGTTAAACCGTTGGTTGGTCTGCTGGTTTTCTCCTGTATTTAGTTCAACAATCTTTCTTATAACTGAACGTTATAACAATTTAAATTTTAAGTTTTACATACAACATTTTAAATTATTTTTATTTTTCTATCTTTTTAGTCTAGCTTCCCTGTGAACACTTATGCAATCCATGTCGTGAACCACTCCTGGATTTTTGATAAAATCTTCAACATATTCAAGCCTTTTTTAAATGCGGATATGCGCTCCAAAATCTACTTTCACCGGGACGACTTCAAGTCTCTCCATAAGCACATAAGCCCGAATAATCTTCCGGAACGATATGGCGGAGTGTGGCCAGAATATTCTTACACTATCTGGCTGAACTCACTACGGAAGAATTTCACAGTAGCAAAAGCTGTTATCACTCACGGGTACAAGTTTCGGAAAGGAGAAGTTGATGAGGAAGTGGAACGACAACTGCAAGAAAAAGGTATTAATTTAAGTTAACATTAGGACCATGTCGTTTGTACGGACTATTTTATTTTTTACACAATATATTAACTGAAATTGCAAAAAAAATAGATTGAATAAATTAGTATTAAAATTGGCAACAATTTAATCAAAAGCTACACAAAAGAAGAATTTCATACTAACGTAGAGTAAATGGAGGCGTGTTTATGTCAATGACTGAAATTCATAGAAAAATAAATGGTCTCTTTTTTTGTAATTAAATTTAATAAATTTTTAAATTTCATGCGATCATTTTTGATAATATAGGTTAATTGTAAGTACCCATGACTGGGTATTTAAAAAAAAAGACGTGTGGCACTCGGGGACTGCCGCGGTAAAGCTATTGCATAGCATTTTGTATCAACTTATGCAATTATAATTATTTATTTATTTTATTTATGCAGTGTTTCTTCTTCTTTGATATTAATTCAAGTTACACTTTTTGAGCGTGGTGACCGATAAGAAAACAATTTTTTTTCTTTTATTAAATAAAAATATTGAAGCATATATTACAATTTGTTTTTAAATAAATAAATAAAAAATATTAATATTAAATCAAATTACATATCCATGTAAGATTTTTCTGCATTATGTTGACGAAATTTCCTTTGACGTTCAGCATTTGATTTTGGTACTGTTTTTTGTTTTGTTTTTAGCGTGAGGTTTTTTTTCGTTACGGAATTTCTGGATTCGGTCCCCGCGCTCAAGGCCCTCGATAGAAGCTATGCAATAGCTTAAAAATCCATGTTATTTTCCTTACATCTTTTGCATACTGTATTTAAATATAGTCATTTTTATTGATAGAAATAGTGTTTAATATAAAACATTCTTTTTAAGATATTATGTAATAAAATATTATTCACGTCAATTTTGTATGTTGACAATTAAGAAGAATTCATTTAATAAAAAGAATAGAATACGTGACAGGGATTAGAAACTCCTTCCCAAAGTAGATGTCAAACGGATGCATACTGAAGAAAAAAATATGTTTATAATTCATGAAAAATAATATATATTTATCTTGTAATAAATAAAATAAAATTACGTATTCCAAATTCGTATCCGAACTGGGATGTGTTGTAAAAAACTGTAGATGAAAGTTTTAGAAAGAACGGTATTTACACTTATTTGCTAAAAAGCATTTTAAAGTAGGCTTACATTTTTTGAGGAAAGATCTATTCTATAAGTATAAACTAATAATTCATTTAGAAATTCACAAAAACCCTTTTTATATTCCGTTACTTATCAGATAATTGAATAGGTAAATCGTTTATTTCTATAATTAATAAAAAAACAATACTAATGTTTTTTTTGTACTCAGTAGCGACATTAGTAGTAACAACTATATATATATAAAATATTTTTATGGTACTCGTAAGTAGAAGTTAATTCTAAAACTACACTCATGCATTCCTTAATAAGCCGAATAATTGACTATAGTGATGTGTGTTATTTCGACCTGAATGCAGACCTTCTTAGTAATCTAGAAAAACTTCTCAATACTGCATTCGAAACATTTTCAATCTTTGGAAGTATGACCATGTGTATGCTTTGCGTTCCTAATTAAACTGGTTACCTATTTGCTTGCGCTGCTAACACTTGCGTGCACTTACCTCTCTATTTTTAATTTTCAACTCACCGTCCTTGCTCCCTACTTCCGTTACCTGTCCACTTACCATGAAAGAAATCTTCGCTCAGTTAATAACCTACTTCTCTTATGTCCCTAACACAACGCCGTCTTCGTGAACTCTTTGTTCTTTGTTCAAGCAGTACTACTCTGGAATGCGCTCCCGCTCGACATCATTATATTCACAAACCGCTTTATTTTCAAAAAGAAGGTACATGTTATCCTTTTTAATGATTCATAGTATAACCTCATATTCCGGTATTCATAGTATACAAATATAATATGTCTATGTATCTATATAACTACATTTGTATATATATGCATGTGTATTTATGATATGTTGTATTGCGTATGTGTATGTTTAAGTTTATGTATGTAGTACCGTATATATTTTCATTGATTACTTAATATACTCGTATTAAGACGAGACTGGAGGAGAATGGCCCTGGGCATTAAATCCGCCGACGTACAAAAGTGCATGAAGTTAAATAAATATCTAGACGTAGTTAGATTATATTTTTTTATTTTTTTTTTTCTTAAGTCCTTTTCTTTACGTGGAGTGTGCTAAATACTCATTCAATTACACTTTTAGTAGAGTTTAGAGTAGTTTTAAAATTTTAACCCTTGAAGTAAAAAGACCTTGTATCTATCGGTTGCGTTATAAGTCCTAAACAGGTGGACCAATGTTGAATATTTTTATTTTGTGCAATGTTGTTAATTAGCATGCTTGATTGATGTCAGTCATTAATGTCAAGAATGCTAATAGCTATGCTATAATTCAGAAAATATGTGAAGCCGTTCGAACATAATCTTTTTACAATTGTCGTTGTTTTCAAAGTGTAAAGTTAGAGTGTAGAGTAGTGTTAATGTAGATATGACCTACATATCTTGATTTAATGTCGACTATCAGCTTAATATTATTTTAATTGAACTGATTGCGGTAACATCTTCGGTTCATGTCAATTAGAGTCTTTTACTTAAAGTCGCTTGTATGATAATACAATTAATTCGATAAATAACTATTATGTTTAGCCTAAAGTAATGTTAATGAAAATATAGGTAACAAGGTCGTCTTAGACTTTAACAGCATAGGCCTGTAAGTATGATATTAAAAGTTACATTATATTCTTAACAAGATAAATAAATATAGCGGTTACAGATAGAATTCGTCAAAAGCCTGTGATAAATCAAAAATGCACTTCGATGCAAAAATAATTAAATTATAATTAATAAAATATTGCGTTTAGTTTTTGTATTAAGTGCTATAAGTATTTTTACAAGTTTAACAAATATATATGAAACTGTCTGTACTTTTTTTATCATTTCATCTTATTCCTGCTTTTTATATAGATTATACATAGTTTTCAAATGTGACGAAAGAAAACGGATGGGGGGGGGGGCGGAAAACTGATAGAATAAGGGAGAAAAGTAAGGGATAGCGTAAGTCAGACCCGGGGAAATGGATCTGAGACTGCAATAGTTCGAAGATGATAGGGTTGCGTACGATGTTATGTCCGAACTGTGATTAGAGAAGCCACTAGAAAGGCCACACTGGCATACACTGGCCATTTTCTTAACAATTCATGTTAGATTATCTTATCCACTTTACTAAAAAAAAGTTAATATTTGAAAACTTCCAGTGTTTTTAATTAATATTATTTAACGGGAATTAACGCGATCTCTTATTTAGGGTATTACATACCTCTGGTTTGCCTGACGCCAGTCAGCCTGTGACCACGGCCGGTGCAACCTGGTCGAAACGTCAGGCAAACCAGAGGTATGTAATACCCTAAATAAGAGATCGCGTTAATTCCCGTTAAATAATATTAATTATCATGGAACGCGAAAGTTCCAGTGTTTTTGTTATTTTTATTATTGATGTTTTAAATGGTTATGTTCGAGTCATTCAGATTTATTATCTTCGTTCAGTTTAGTCCTGAATTCTAAACTTATTAAGAAACATTAATATTTCGGACAAAATAATATTTTCGGACATTTGACACACGGCGCAATCTAGTTTCATACTAAGCAGAGCTTGTACTATGAAAGCTAGATTGACTGATAGAATACTCCGAAACAAATATTTGCGGATCATACAAACATTTGGTCTGACCCGGGAATCGAACCCGAGACGTCAGCACAGCAATTGCATACGTTACCACTTCACCACCGAGGCAATACATTTACTGATACAAATTAATTTTGTAAAAATATTTTTGCAGGGACAGAACTAAAGAAATAATGAGACCTGTACTTAACTTACTACCTTTGAAACCTCTGAATGAAACCTTTACAACCTTTGAATGAAATTATTTTATTCCCACGCATAGTTCTCTTCTATGTAGTCTTTGCTGAATAAGTCTTTTATATGCCAGAGTCCTTATTATTCCAAATTTAATCTTGTTGAAGTTTTAAAAACCTATTGTTATAATAAATGTTACATGATCCATACATTTCAAAATCACATCATCAATCCCTCTTATAGTTTTTTGTATTTTCTTTTTCGATCATTTGCGATTTTACAGCCCTATTTAAAACCCTTCGAGATGTGGAAATTTAAATTATCCATTCATAAAAAAATATTAAATCTTGGAATTATTATAAGCTTCTTTTAAACAAGTCATTCTTTTAAACGGGTCTGGCAGAATACTGATGCTCCTAAATTTATTTCGCATAACACACTTGGCGGAATGTTATTTAAGCGAATATTTTTAAGGCATAAAAATTATTTAGTATAATTATTGTTGCCCAAATGTTTATATGTCCGAATTAACAATGGCATACTTTTAAGATCGCATAATTTTATTTAGCATAATTACATTTGGCAGAGTCAAAATGTCGCAGAATTTTGTTTAGCATATCGTATATTTAGAGCGACGATTATTTTGTAGAATTTCATTAGGAAAATATTATTATTATTATTTTATTAGGCAAAGTAGCATTTTTAACCTTAAATTAAATTATTATCTTAAAAAGTCTTGCTACAAAAGTGTGCAACAGAAACGAAGCGCTGCAAAACCGACTCCAGTAATTTTGTCTGCCCTACCCCTAGAGTGTAGTTTAAGCCCGCGTAGGCGCCGAGGGGCGCGCGTCCTGTGAGCTGAGGATTAGGTGGTTTTCCGCCGCAGCAGCGAGCGTTGAATTCATCTATCACCGCCGGAGCCCCACAGCGCCGGAGTCGAGACATATGTGCTGCAGGCTGCATTCTTGCTGGCTTTATTATTTTGGTAACAAATACAAAATGATCAATTGTGATAGTCTTTCAATTATTATAGATATGAATTGTTAATGAAATGCTAAAAGATGATTCTTACTGTCAACTTTCGGCGATATGATGGTTCTGCTTTTTAATTATTATGGATTAAAAGTT